CCCCCCCCCCCCCCCCAAGCTGGCCTCCAGATTTTGAATTGTAACAGGAAAGAGTGGGCTCTTTTTTTTTCTTTCTTTCTTTCTGGGAATACCTGTTGAGCACTTCCTGCCAGTTCATAATGAGACAAAATGACCAAGAAAGCAATGAGTGCTTGATAGGCACACAAGAGCTCACTCCGTTTTGCTGAATGCTCTGCTTTTTCAGCAACATGAGCAGAGGAGTTCAGTAACAAGAATTCCAGATGTTTCCTTTTCTCCCTGACAGTGGTTCAGACCGAAAAAGAGAAACGAGACTGAATGTTGGATTTAAACCTTTTTTTTTTTTATCTGACTTTTCACCCAGAGAACTCCAAAGTCACTTATCTGGCAAAGCGACTCGTTCTCAATGTAATTCCCAGGTCAACAATAAAGGTTGTACCACATTTCTGTCCGTTGGTCTCAAATTTCACCTCTGTGTCTTTCCCCCCAAACAGGAGAAGTTTGTCTCCGCGATCGTCTCACATCCCGCTTCTGTCAGACTCTGCAGTGGTTGGGCCGTTGCCAATTGCCAAACGTGCGAGCGCAGTGCTGCAAAACCTGCAAGCGACAGCCAGGCCGGACCAGCAGCATCAGTCACCACTGAGTCACGAGCAAAGCAACCACTCATTGATGAAATGTGGATTTTTGTCACCCCAATAGACTGCCGGTTTAACTCCACTGTTCAGTAACGGAGGGAATGTAAATATTTAGGTTGACTTTGTTGATAATATATTGCCCAGAATGGCAAAACTGTCACTGACAAAAGGCTACAGAAGATGGCGCTCTCCCATCAATGTAGCCAGCTTAGAATATACAGTGTGTGTGTATATATATATATATATATATATATATATATATATATATATATATATGTATACACACACACACACACACACACACAAAACTAGAGAAATGACATATCAATGTTTGTGGTTGGTAGCAGGTACAACAGAACTGAATGTATAAATTAAATGTGTAAATTCGCATTTACTGAGGTGCTGACATTCCATACGTGTCTGTTTACCAACGCTTCAGTTCTGCAAATACGCAGCGAACGAAAGGTGACTCGACGTGATATTCTGTGGTTGCAAGACAATTGTAGCGGTGCAACATTCAAATGTCTTCTCTTGGATGATTGGTATCATCTCAGTCATAAGCTGCGCAACAGCTGATTTGCCGTCAAAACGTGTTTCCAAACTTTGACTCATTTAAAACATCGTCACAGCTGTCCGTAGTGTTCAATCTCAGTACCGTTCTCAGTACAAGTGATAGTACAAGGTTAACGCATGATCCACTGCGCACATTTTAAATATAATACTTAAAAACGATGTTAAATGGTGCTCAAGGAAAGTACAAGAATCATTCAGGGATGATGTGATGATGACAACAAATGGAGAAAATTGGGCTGCAGCACATTTGGTGCTTGGGACAGCGTAGGCGGGCCCGGTGCCTTAATTAAAAATTTTAATTCTGTACCTTTCATATCGTTCCTGACTTTTGATAGTAAATTAAGAGTCACTCACGTGCAGATTTTTTACCTAGGTAACTGGTGCCAAACTCAAGGCCCCAGGGGTCAGACCCGGCCCGCCGTATCATTTTATGGGGCCCGCGTTAGTAAATTATGTGTATCAATTTCATGTTCCTTGCTAAAATGTCCAAATCGTCTTCATTTTGAAAAACGTTGCGATATTCTCGGCATCTTCACTGGTCTCTTATTTCAAAACTAGTTATTAATCACTTTGTTGTTAATGGTGTTTATTTATTTGGGATCACTGACATCCGAAGGAAACCGTCACTCTGATGTGGCCTGCGAAAAAATTGAGTTTGACACGCCTAACCTACATCGATATGTACAGGTCATATTACCGTAGGTTTTGGGAATTGTATTTTGGTGTGTATTGGTCTTTTCTACATTGAAACGCACGGTGCCACATGTTGTGGGATAGTTAGTGTTGGGTTTTTTTTTTTTTTTTTTTTTTTAAATATATAAAAAGATTTTCTGAAACAAAAATTGGCAACTGCAAATCTCAGACCCGGTTCTCTTTCTGTTAGTTTCTTTTGAAGGTTTTTGATGCCGCGTAAGAAACCAGAAATGCACAGGCGTGTGTATTAATGGCAAATGATCACATCCTGCCATAAATCAAACGTGGTGAAAAGAAAACTGCCAGCTAGGAACCCATAATTCCGTGAGCGGTAACATGACTCTAAATGTATGTTTTCTAAATGTACGTATTTCATACATTCACTCTGAAAGGTCACTCTGTTTTGGACTGCAATTTCATGCATTTATCTGGTGTCAACAACCAGCTGATGTCACAGGTCAACTAGAAATACATCTCATATGTCTGTCAGCAGTCAGGTTTTATTTGGTATTGTAATTTAATTTCATCGTATTCTGAACATTAACGGCTACTTATACTTTAACATGGACTCTACAGGTATATGTATCATCAGTTACTCCAACCCGCGAAACCAAATGAAATGCAATTAACTTGAAGCTGTGCTCCACTTTTTCAAGTGGATTTTCTCAGTCCCAGGATTGTGATTTTGTTTTAAATCAAGGGACCAGCTTTCAAAAAAAATGCTGAAATAACATTTCAGTCCTTGCCGTGGCGGTCCCTGCACACGTCTCAGGTTATTAGTGTTGGGTCATTGGTGCTGGCATTGGTGCTGGCATTGGTGCTCATATTACAAATAGTGCTCATATATATATGTGCTTTGCCTCATGCTAAAAAAAGGTTGATTTGTTCACAGCACAAAAATCAAGTGGCTTAAATCTTGCTTGTCAACAAATGCAGTGACCTTTGTCAATTTGTTTTGCCACAGAGGCGTAAACACAAAACCTACTGCATCTAGTGAGCTGCATTAAAAGGAAAACATTTTCCCCACTGCTTCCTTCTTATTTTTCTGAGGTATGCATTTATGGCATGACACGTGATTATTTGAATGACATGCAAATTACATATTTACTGGTACATTTGATTTCATAGTAGTGTTGTCTTTATGGGGACAAGTGTGTCAATCCATGCTTGCTGTTGATCTAAAAATCTCTGCAGGTCAGACTAAAATTCCTCTATTCCATGGCAAAGTTGAGGCTTTGTCAAATGTGGTTCTTCTTGCTATTGACACTTTTCGATTGGCAAGATCAGTCATTACCCGTTGCTTTTTCCAGTTGGCCGATCCGCTCAGACAGGGTTCCACGTGTGCAGAGCCAAAACCTATTTGGGTGACCAATACATACATGAGCGTTCACTGTTCTTGAGAACGCTTTGACCACTCAGTCTCCATTTTGCTGCGGCGCCCTGATTCGCAGCTTTCCTCAATCTCAGTTTCAAATCAAATTTGCTATCTTATCGTCATCAAATGTAACGTGGTCTCGGTGTTCTCCATGGGTGTTTATAAGCGTGTCTCTCACTAATGTTTTTAAAGAGTCATGGTTTTCTCAGTTATCCATCATACTATTCCAAAGTAGAAAAGCAACCAGTGGCTGCAGTGGAAAAGTGCCACGAGAGTGCTATTTGGGTGGGGGTGGGGGGTGCCTTTTCTAAGACAGAAAAAAATTATGTGAAAAAAAATGCTTGGAAGATAAAAAGAGCAATCGCAATGCACTTGACAAAGGGTTCAGGTGATAGTGTCACAGAGTGTAGTCTGTGGAAAAGTAGATTGTACATTCCTGCATGCAAATGGCTTAGAAAATAAAACAGCAGATGAGGGTATTGCCAAATGGACCAGTCGTTGAAAGAGATAACACAAATAGCTGAGATGTAAACACCAAAGGGAATCTTCCTCCTTTTCCTGTAATTAGCGGAGATTTCCAGGCGTGTCCATAATGCTGCAAGATTCACTTACCTGAAATCTAATTAGTCCAGTTTTGATTTCACACAATCCACTGAGGTATTAGAGCAAGGAACACAACTTGAAATAAAATGGATATAACAAGCTGACCCACCCCTGCTGAAATTCCAGGTTTCTGTGAAATGAAAAAAAAAATGAGACCGAGCTTAATAATTCCAACGTTTTTTTCCACCATTAATGGTATAAGCTGCACAATGCTAATGGAGGGTGGGGTGGGTGATGAAATGTATTAGAGAGGGGAAGTACTGTATAAGTTTGCAAGCCCACTTTTATTTGGGGATGTGACTGTTTGCAGAATTCACCAAAGACATTTAAACTCATGTTAAATTGGAGTCAGTGGCTCTAACTAATCTCAAATAAAGTTAGCTGTTCTGTGAGGGTTTGCACGGCATTTTTGTCGTTACCTCTTTGAGCAGGGATGGCCAATTTAAATGCTGAAGGGGAGGAGGGGCGGGCACAATTTTTCATCAGTGCGACTTGGGGGCCACATTGGACTATGCACTTGCGAACCAGATGTATGGGAAAAATGCTATTTTAGATATAGACATAATACATGCAGTTGTGCAAAATACGTGCTCTCAATATAATTCATTTTTCATATTTCTCAGTGCGCATGTATAAAACATCCAATATCCTTACCCAACAACAATGGGTGTGAATGACTATATATGTATGTATGTATGTATGTATGTATGTATGTATGTATGTATACATACAGTATGTATGTATATATACGTATATATGGTCATTGAGGCATGTGTACTAAAAAAAACAAGCATTTTTTAGACATTCACATCAATTGTCTGTGCCTTGCCATGGTACATACCGTATTTTCCGCACTAAAAGGCGCACCTAAAAGCCTTCCATTTTCTTCAAGGCTCACAGCGCGCCTTAAAATCCGATGCGCCTTGTGTATGGTCATTACGGTAATATGTCAACCCCAAAATGACTCCTCGCTAGAGACATGTTTACAACGCAGAGTTCAAACTTAAGGTGATCGGTTTCACAGTTGAATACGGAAATAGAGCAGCGGCAAGAGAGTTCAACGTTAACGAGTCAATGTTATAACTTGCTGTTGGTTAAGTGAACTGTGTCGCTACTTTATTAAATACGTTTTACTGACATCTGATCGTGCTATATCAATCAGGATGTAGTGTAGTGTTCTGTTGGCATTTCCTTGAACCTAGCTCGATCTGGTGGATGAATTGTAGATTTCGTCATATAATGGGGTGCATCCAATATATGAAAAAAAATACAAAATGGGCCATTCATTGAAGGTGCGCCTCAGAATCCAGTGCACCTTTTAGGTACGTATATATAATTTAGCGTAGCACACTGACTCTTCCTTACCGTGTACAGAATAACCATTCAATAAGTTTTGTTTGTCAAATGTATGTCAAACTATACAAACTTAAGGGTAAATCTTACTTTACTCCGTAGGTAAGTTAATTTTCATGCTGTATGCATGAAATGGCGTCACACTATTGTTCCAAAAGGGGTGATTCAACACGGGATGTGTTGATGCTTTCACCTGCTCAACAGGCTTTTAAAGGAAAAAAAAACACGTGTGTCCCTATGGAAACAAGTTTTAGCACGCACATAGCATTTTATGAAATGACTGAAAAACGTACTGATGGTGGAAATAAAATATTCAATAGTTCCACTACCCGCTTGCAATGTGCTTGCATACCGTGCTGGTTGGGAAACACTGCCTGAAATGTTTGATTCTAACTGGGTCCTTTTGTAAAAGAAACCACTTAATTTAGATCAGGGGTGCCCATTACGTCGATCCTGATGTACCGGGAGATCTAAGACAGGTCCCAAGTAGATCCGAGGAGTGTCTAGGAGAAAAAAAACAAACAACCATTTGTGTGTCTTTGTACATGTTAGTAATATATATATTTTTGTGTTAATGTACGCTGCACCCTAATCATCTTATCAGTCTCATTTTCACAAAAAAAAAAATATTAAAAAAATAAAGTAGGTAAATCTTGAATTTACGGTGGCGCGTGATTACGTCACCGGAAGTTGTTAGTGCTCAGCAGTCTGCAATTGCAGCTTATGATCAGAGCTGTTGCGCTCTATCTTTTATCGTCATTATTCTCATTCAGAGTTTGCTTCGTGTACACTTCACCGAGGGCACGGGCAAAGAATAGGAATCTAGGAGGGCCCAGGGAAGCACTTTAAAACGGTACGTGTGAGCTACGATAGTTTACAGACTGCAAAAGTGCATCGCATGCCTCAGTTTCAGGCTGTTTCTCGTCATGGCGTGCGCGCGCGCGTGCGCGCGCCGGTAAGGGTAGATCCCGGGAGGTTAGTTGATCGAAAAGTAGATCTTCGGTCCAAAAAGTTTGGGCACCCCTGATTTAGATGATAATGATGGCAATACTTTGCATGAATATGCAAACAAATTATTCAAAAGTGATTTTGAATTCAACTCGATAAAAAATTCAAAACAATGTGCTGAATGAGATGCCTTTTAATACAATAGACACAAAAGCAGGACCTTCAATGTTTCTCCAAACGTAATGAAACAATTCAAATGAGATTGGCATGCAGAAATGTATGCGTATGTTTATTTCTCACACTGGCTCAGCTCAATAATCCACAGGTGGCAGAGTCACCATTTCGGCAAACTTTTCATAGTTTACAACTCCATTTGGCTTGATGTTTGCTTCTTTGAACAGCTCATCCACTAGAAAAAGCAAACAGAAAATAGCTTACACAGAACGTGCCAAAACACTGGGAACGAAATGAAATTTGTGTCCGAAACTCAAACGAACTGCTCGGTGGAAACCATGCTTCACGTTTATTTGATGTAAGCTTCCCTGCACCAACACAGCATCACATGAATAAACTTTGAATACACTGTGCAGTACCTGACTTCCTGCCATAGACAATATCATTTTCTCACAATCATTTGTAGACTTCAGTTTGACATTTTAACGCATTGATTATTTTGGATGTTTCTTTTCCTGACCGCTAAATGAACAACAATCAATCAGTCTGACAATGATTGAATTATAACGGCAGACCCCTCTGTATTTTAAATCATATTTCAAGTGACTTTTGTGCTTTCTATATACGTATATACTTTTTAAATGTTATGATTTACAAAGTCCCAAAATTGTGATGTCCTGTTCTGAAAAGGTTTGAAAGCACTGACATGTTCACATCCAGTGTCAGCTGCGGAATATACAGTCTAACAGCAATTCTGTTGACAGGCTGGGCATGTCAGAATTTTCAGCATCTTATGGGAGGGCATCAATCATTATGGGATATCTCATGGTTATCAAGATGTTGTGGATCCAACAGGCATCGGCTTTATTCTTAATGGTTCACAGTGACTGAAGTGTCATAGCACTTGCATTTCAATTATTTTCCAATTGAAGACTAGTAGTATGGAGGACAAAACTGCTACCCAAAACCGAAGCCATAATGTTTGACTCTCTTTTGTCTCAGTGTAGTACACATTGCATGCATTCTATAAGGGCTGTCATTATTGTAACACCAAGTCAATATTTGGCTACCGTATTTTCCGCACCACAATGCATTTATGAGTACAAGGTGCACCTTCAATGAATGGACTATTTCTAAACTGTTTTCATATATAGGCCGCACCAGATTATCAGGCGCATGGAATAGAAGCAACAACAGTCACTGCGGTTGCGTTATGCATCAACGAGATGGAGCTATGCTAAAGGGAATATAATACAATCCAGCTTTCTTTATATCGAGCTTTCACAGAGCTGCAGCTCTCACAAAAGCACTTTCGAGAACACATACAGTGCACCTTATAATCCGATTTGCCTTATATGTGAATCAAGATTCAGATTTCTTGGAGGTAGTATTTTAAATATTTGCCTTGGAAAAAATTGAATGTTTTTAGGTGTGCCCTATAGTGCGGAAAATATGGTAGTTTCTAAATGGATGCTTATGTTCGTCTGATGGTGAAATGTTCCCCCCACCTCATTAAGATCTCCATTTTGGTAGTTTATTAAATAATGCACGAAATTCTTTTTACCGGTTATATAAAAAATGCAGTACCTGAATTTTATACCAACTTACTACTATTAAGTTGATTACATAGCATCGTCAAAAATATTTGTTTACAAAATTTGGCATAAATACAGTACATTATGGGATGAACATTACATAATGACAAAGTACAAAGTAATAATAATGATGATGATGATTATTATTATTATTATTGTCATTATTATGATTATTATTATTTGCACCAGTAAAGAAAATTGAATTGAATTGAATACAACTTTATTGTCAAAAGTGCTGTATGTGTCGAGCCCAATTAACATGTACTGGTCTATACAGGGAAAAATAAAACTTTTTTCAAGTGAGACTCAACACAGCAATTTTTCTACACCTCCAAAAGTAGTTTGATTTTCTTAAGGTTTCATCTGAGTTGGACCGGTATTTTCACTTTGTGCATGGAAAAAAAAAGGCATTTTGCAGGGGTGTTGACATTTTTGTAATGTCTTAGAGAAGAGAGAGGCTGTCCTCAGTCATGTTGAGTGAGCCTTTTTCTTACCTTCTTTGACAGTAAGTTTCTCTCCTAACATGGTGAGCTTGGCTCTCAGCTCCGAGGCTTGAATGTATCCTTTCTTTTGTTTGTCGGTCATCCTCAGGGCTTCAAGAATTTCTGTCTTAGGGTCTTCCTGTTGTATTTGCCGGTGCATCATGGTCAGGAATGTAGAGAAGTCCAAGCTCCCTGACTTTTCTAAAACATAACGAACCAATTTATATGTACAGTACTTGGTATATTCAATTCAAGTGAAATAGCCATGGACCAACTTGAGTTACTGCACAAATGTGTTTTGCGAAGCTTATTGCTATTGTTATTTGGTTGCTTGATTACCCATTTTGTGAACTTGAAGATGTCTTTCAATTTCACCAAGTGTGGGGCTGCTACCAAGGCAGCGCATAACTGTGATCAGGTCCTTAACGTCAATCCTTCCCTTTTGTTTCTTGTCATATAAAGAAAAGCACTCCTTGAACTCTGAAAGGAAAATTCAGTCGTGACTTATATCAACAGTTTTATCCCGTGCAAAAGTGTCTAATCAAACAAGTTCACTTGAGGAAGTAGACGGACATTCGAAATTACACATTATTTCAATTTCACTGCAGACTGCCGCACAGTTGAAAAAGGCACACTTGCAAGTCCCCTTCAAATATTCTGTTGCGCACGACAAGGGGAGAAGGATTGTGCTGCGAAGAAATCTTACCGTTGATTTGAGCTGGTGTAAAGAATTTTGCCTGTGTGATGAAAGAACAATGTCCAATCAAAAACTCATGCTGGTCTTTGAAAATCTAACACAAAGAATTGTTCTTACCATTTGAAAATACTTAAGTTGCTTTCCAGGAAGAAGAAATTAATTTCCTGAAGTCTGTCCCTCCACCTGTTTAAAGTCCAACACCAACAGGCCTGCAAGTAATTTAATACGTGTTGCTGTCGAAACACAGATACCAGATCCAAGGTGCAGTTTAACCCTGTCCCTTCCGAGCAAGCGACAAGAGCAACAGTTCAAAGATAACAGTTCAAATGTTCAACAAACACTTGATTTGAAGTACATTTGAGTTCGGATGAAAACAGACAGATAATTGACAGGGTGAGTTAAAAAAAAAAAACATGAGAATAGTATGAACAAAAAATGCAGCTACATTACTATCATTATGTCACTCATGGCGCAGTGATACATTCTCCTGACTTCCACGCAGGCCACCTGGGTTCAGTTTCCACGCGATGATGGTGTGAGTGTGAATGGTTTTCCGTCTCTACATGTTCCCTGTAGTTGTCGGGCGACCAGTCCAGCACATGTTTTTCGCCCAATGTCAACTGGGGTTGGCTCTAGTTTCTTGAAACCCTGGATTGGATGAACGGTATAAAAGAAAATGGATGGGTGGAAATTATTATGATACTAATCATGATGTATTATGTCATGCCGACTGATACGTGTTACATTAACAATAAAAAAGTTAACATTTATCTCGATATCGGTAATAAAAAAAGATGAGCAAGTCAACTAAAATCAGTCGGGATTCAACAAACAACAAAATGAATCAATTTAGAGTTTGACCAAAATGTGCCCTATATTTTGAAACTAAAACTGTGATGATACCGCACGTGCTGTCACCTGGTACTAAAATCAAATCTTCATCCTACGGTGTATCTTGAGACTTATGAGCAGCTGAGTATCTCTCAATACACCTCGTAAAGGAAGACATCCAGGAGCCAACTCATTTGGCTCCTCTCAATGCAGGGGAACAGCGGGACTACTCTGACACCCTTGCGGATGACCAAGCTTCTCACCCTATCGCTAAGGGTGAGCCCAGGTAGCCTGTGGAGGAAACTCATTTCGGACGCTTGTATTGATGATCTTTCGGTCCCAGCCCACAGTGACTAAAGGTGAAGGTGGGAATGTTGATTGACTGGTCAACAGGGGCGTCACTAGGTTTGAAGAACAAGGGGGGCTTAGCCCCAAGGGGAACACAGCCCCTGTAGGGGGGTCCGGGGGCATGCCCCCCCGGGAGAAATTTTTTCTACATTCTGTTAAAAATCCATCAATTCCGTGCACTTTGAGAGCAAAATGAAGAGGCTATGAAGAACTACACACATCACATTAGTATCCTCTTTACTATGATGGGGCTTCCTCCCCTGGACTTTAACTGGACTAGATAATAGAAATTATAAAGAGTTCAAAAGTTCAATCTTGGTTGTTCAAGGGAATTAGAAGGATGCCCGATAACATAACCTATATGACAGTAGTCCTATATTCCTCTCTGCCAAAATGTATTAATATATGCTTAGCCCCCAGAAGACTATGTATTTCCCCGCCCCCCCCCCCCCCCCCCCCCGCTCACTCTCTGTGCGTCTTTAGCCTGATTCCGATCAAATAAATACATTTATTTATTTTATATTTATTTATTTATTTTATATAGGCCAAAATCTCAATAGGTGTTGCCTCAAAGAGTTGGTGTAATGATTATTTGTGTATTTAATAATAAAATGTTGCTTACTTTTTATTAAGCACCACCTTAATTTATCCAAAAGTGAACACTTGTTACAGTGAGTGCAGTTTCTGCTGTTACTGGAGATATTTTAGCGGACTATAGTCACTAGTTTTACCAGCATGGATGCATTGAATACTTAATTTACCTTTCTAAAAAACTGTCGAATATCCATGCTGTCGACTCAACCTGACTTTCGGCAATGAACTGTCAGTTGTTGCGTTAGCATTTGATGTGGCGATGGTGACAGACACGTCAAATGCAAACGCAACACCTGTTGCGTTCAGGAAACCTGGGAGATTTAACATTACAATAATGGCAGGTTATCGAAATATAATTTAAAATGGCCACATAACGTTGAATTTGATGCAGTATATTAGCAAAAGTACAGGAAAAATAAATAATACTTTTTTTTAAATAATGCAATGAAATTATTTAGGGGGGCTAAAGACATTTTTAGGGAGGCTGAAGCCTCCCTAAAATAGGCCTAATGACGCCCATGCTGGTCAATAAAGAGCTTCGCCATTTGGCTCAGCTTTATCTAGACCATACCACACCGATTAAGAGTCCAAATCTCTGCAGACGCTACACCAATCTGCCTATCCATTTTTTCCCCTTACTCATAAATCAGACCCCAATATACTCGAACTCCTCCAAATGGAGCAGTGATTCCCTTGCCCTCTCCCACACATAAGCGAGCCCATGAGAAGGAATTGATTGCACCGGATTGTATTTAGGGGTATCAGAGTACAGTGGGCTGAATACAATGCAAGCCACACTTTTCAGATCCGTATTAGCTTAAAGCTGTGTATCATATTCATTGTACTTGACAATCACATGCTACTCTGTGTTTGGTCTATCAAATACAATCTGAAAAAAAAAACCAAAAAAGTTTTGGGTTATAAGGTCAAAAGAAATTTTTATTCAAGGGGTACAGACACCTTTTGAAGGCACTGTGTATGCAGTATGTACTGCACATATGACTGGCATCAGGCTCAATCCTTGTTCCTCCAAAATACTCACTTTTAAAGAGATCCAACGGCATGTTTGCTTAACTATTAATTTTAGATCGTCAAAGTGAACAAGCCATTTTCAACACTTTAGATTGATCAGTGATTTGTAAAAATAATCTCACACACACACACACACACACGCGCACTTGCGCGTGGACTGACCGATTGTATGGATTTGTGAAAAAATAATAAATTCGCCAAATTTGGACATGGGAGGTTTCGGGATGACAATCTCAAAATATATTTAAACGCTGCACTGTAAAATGAAACAAATAACAATATCGACCGTGGCAAATGTGCCAAGAATTAGGGTGTTTGCTTGGGAGCAGAGGTTCTTTACAGAAATCCACAACAGCACTGATTTTGTGCATTCCATTCTTCTTTTATTATTGAGGTCAGCACAGTAGTGAGCAGCCAGGACAGTGGGTGTTGAATACACAGGTGAACATTGGTTCTGCCTTAACAAAGAGGTGTCGAAAATGTAATTTGAGAAATACTGCCAACAATTCAGCAATGACAAAAACATAATAGCTGTAACACATTGTAAAAGAGTTGTAACAGAATTTTGTTCCTTGATCACAGGCTATCTTCTCTAAAAAGAAAGGAAAAAGCAATACGGTTTCAAGCAGGCAGACAATAAATGGTCATATGGAGTAATGATGTACAAACCTGAACAGTTCAGATTAGTGCTCTTTCATGATATGTAACATGTAGAAGGACCAAGGTTCCGGAACATACACGAAACCAGGGTACTTGTTGCGTAGCACCGGGTCATTCCATAGATAGACAACCCAGAGTGTAACGAGAAGCACAGTAACACTAAAACTATGGAACAAGAAAAGACCATTGCTGTCTGGGCTCAGGCCATTATGCCTTTGATAAATCACCAGAGCCACCATCGCAAAGAAGGTGAGAAGAAAGAGTTCAGTGATTTGTCCTTCCGTGACCAAGTACCTGCGGTGGAAAGGAAACAAAGACACTCATGCCACAATTGGACTGCAAATTAAAACAACTTTGACATTCACAAGAGCCAAAACAACAAACAAGCACACAGATGTAGACAAGCTAGTGGGAAGCTGAGGCAGACAGTATTAATAAAAATGCAAATGATCTATATTTATTTATTTATTTATTGCATGTAATGATGTTTGACCTTGGAGGTTAGCCTTAAAACCTGTTTGTCAGAGGTGGAAGTGATTAGGTTATCCTTGCCAAGAATCACCTCTTAAGTCTGGCTGTGATGCGGAGACAGTGCAGCTTTTGTACGTTACTACTACAGCACTAATATGGAGGTTGGTTCCCAGGGTCGGCTCACTCATTCAGCAATCAAAGCAAACTTTAAAGCTGCCATGGCCTCAATGGCCAACGTAAAATAGTGTGTGTGTGTGTGTGTGTGTGTGTGTGTGTGTGTGTGTGTGCGTGCGTGCGTGCGCGCGCGCGTGCGTGCGTGCGTGCGTGTGTGTATATATATAATCACCTTCACGTAATTACGTTTTATTAAAACTAGTTATTGACTCTTAATGTCAAGTCAAAATGTTTTACTATGAGCAAAGGAAAGATGCGTGAATTAAAATTAATATAAATGATGAATTAAATAAGCCAAGCGGAGCAAGGTCAACTAGTTTGAAATCAGTTTTCCTGCCCAGAGCACAAAAGTGAAGCACCCAGCTAGCCATAGCTGATGATAAACCAAATGTAAATAAACATCAGCTAGTAAGTGCAGAGTGGTACAAAGAGGCTCCCTCAACATACTGCTGCACTGAAACAAATCATGGAGGACTGAATCATCCACACAAGTCCGAAGAGGCAGCCGGTAAGACAAAGTTTTGTGATCAGTTAGTTTATGACCAGGCCAGCCCAGCAGGTTACATAGAGCAGGGGTCCCCC